AAAACATGGAAATCCTTTCCTGCCTGGTCTCTTTTCATTCCTTTTCCTGTCAGTCATTGCACGTGTCACCAGTGTCTGTGGAGAAGACAGCACAGTCAGGGCCCAAGACCGCTGCAGCCTCTAGTGTGTGAAAAAGCAACATTAGCTTAAAGATTTTCACATGAGAACTGCTGGTGATTGACAGGACGTACAGCACAGTCATTAAAACCAGAAATGCGTCTGCTCTGGAACCCCTCACTGGCATCCTGAATTAAAGTGTGTAACAAACTTCCTAGCAGTGTGGTGCAAATGTGAGCACAGCCTTTGGTTTATACTGAAGGTTTTGTTTTTGTAGCATGGTTTGGCTCACTTCAGCAGCCCGTAAGGGGAGAATTTGTGCAGCATGCTTGGGGTTGGCTCACCCAGCCGTGTGCGGGTGTGCAGTGTGCTCATAGCCGCATCTATCCAAGCTAGGATGCAGATGACCAGATGCAGCCCAGCAGACTCCAATGAGGCAGGTGTAATACAGGTATTCTGACTGGATTTAAGTGTGTTGCCATCAGTGCTACACTCAAAACAGCTGGCTTTGTTACCTACACTGCAAGCTGCTGTCGCGTTAGCTCGTGTCAGATGCCAGCCATTTACAGTATGCGCCATCACAGCATGACTTCAGTTGGCAACACAGAGTCAGTCACATGCCAGCAGCCTACTGTAAGGGTGGGGGAGTATGTGGGAAGAAGGGGGAGAAGATACTCTCATAAAATGCTTTAATGATTTATTTTTAATATCCATTTTTTAAGCCTGGGGAATTGCAGTCCATATGCTTTTCCCTCCTGGCTCTAGTTGGCAAAGAAGCTGATGAATATGGTCCTTCATACTCCTTCCATTTTGTGAGGAGCCAGAAAATATGGCTATATTTAGCACGTTTCCAAGGCCAGCAGCAGAGTCTGTTGCTGGGTGGTGATTCCCTGGCTGGAGGCTCATGTGCCACCCTGGGAAAGGGTGGGAATGTGTGTTGCCTGGAATCGGTACTCGTGCTGAAATAACAGCACCAAAACAAACTCCACCAATTCTAACGCAATGGATGCAGTGGTTACAGCAGGCTCAGCACGCTGCTCAGTGGCGTGGGTCAGTCTCTCACCGTGCCTTTCCTAATGCACACAGCCATCCAGTTCAGGTGCTTTCCTGTGTGATGCTCGGTGCTCCTGTGTAGGGCTCTGAGACCATCTTGTGCCCTTGTGCTGAACATCGATACGCTGGAGCTGCAGCTGCTCACTGCATCAAAACAATCGGTGCCTTTTAGAGGTAAAAATATTCATCTGAAGCTTAGGAGCCTGTTATATTTTCTCTTCCCATTTTCCTAGGCGAACCCAGGTATAAAATGGAGTTGTCCTTATTTGTCCCCATCTCACTATCCACACAGCAGATTTGCTACCTGTTCCCTGTTGTTTTCCCTGCTGTGTTTCAGCTGGTACTGAGAAGTGAATAATGTCAGTTCCTTCTTCCTTCTGGCTGCTTTCGTAGAGCTCAAATCAGTCTTGAAAAGCTTTTGTGTTGCTGAGAAGCACTGAGAACTGTAGACTTTATGATAGAAGTGTAGAAGAAGAGATTTGCCCTACCAGTATGGATGTTCAGTAGTGCCCATTGCTTTAGAGCAATTTTGAATTTTTTTTTTCATAGCTGGATGTCTGAACTGGGGTTGCCAGGAACAGAAATGTTTTGTCTCTCTGTCACACCATCAGTTCCTAACATTCATCGTCAGATGAAGAATCGACAGCAGAGTTGGAGAGTGAAACTCTTCTCAATTGTGGCTTTTAAGCAGTCATGGTGAAATGCAGCAGTTAATGATGCTTGGGACTAAAATGATGACAAGTGGGAGCTAGGTTGAAGGTGTGATTTTGAATTTGCATGCCATGGTGATTCATTTAGCCTTCCTGGAGCCATAGAAGGCCTGAACGACAGCAGTGCTTGCACTTTACAGCCTCTGCTCTGCAGTAGCATCTCTGCAGCTCTTAGTTCCTTGCAAATATGTGTCACAAATCCTCACTGAAACCAGTAGCCCTCCTTTTGGGCACTGATTTCTGCTCACAGCTCTGTCTGCAGACAAGACCTCATGCTGTATGTTTTCCTGATAACAGAAACATTTTATTTTCAGAACCCCCCAACTGGAATCAAATAAACTCTGTTTTGAAGAGAAAAAAAAAAAAAAAGCACAAAGCTTCACACCAAGCAGGGGCGCCTGCTATCAGTGACATGCAAAGTTTCAGTTAGAATAGCAGAGTCCTTTTCCAGCTGAAGTAGGTCCTGTAAGTATTATTTATAAAAATGGTAGCTGTTTTATCTTCTCCATTCCTGCAGTGAGAAAGCAACTTCCCAGATTTATTCCAAATTTGGTAGAAATTTAGTGTTTTCCCAACACGAGGTACTTATGCCAAGTTTCAACCAGGAAGAATTTGTAGGATTAATATGTAAGCCCTTGAAGGCTGTAGCTTAGAATAGAGCAGCTGCCTGGCCGTTGACAGCACGCGGCTCTGAGTGGGTCTGCATCCCTGCAGAAGCTGTGGAGGTGGGATGCTGCAGGCGTGCTCTGAGCCTGAACTGGGCTCTGGTTCCAGGTGATGGGAAGGGCTGCGGAGGGACCTGATCCTATGGAGCTGGACAGATGCCACCTTCTTTGTGAGCTCTTTGATGCGCATGGGTTAGGGAGGGGAGGACTGTAAACAGATCACAGAAACAGCTTGGTTTGGAAAAATAGATTCAAGATGGTGTCTAACGTCACCTTGAAGCAACGTGGTTGCTTTTGCTGTTCCTCATGCCTGCAGGCAAGGTGAGCAGGATCAGTCTGGGAAGCAGGAAGGACAACCCAGGCCTGGCTTATCTGGGCACCAAGCTGCGTGGTGCCTTTTTACCCTCACTTCAAGCAGATGTAAGAAAGTGTCTGGCGATGAAGATTCATGTACTCAGGGCCTGTGAGCAATTAACTCACTGCTAGGGATCTGGTGCTGTTGGATTGCAGAGAAGCCAAAACAATAGCATTATAAAGCCGCCTCTTTTTTGGTTTGGTTGTCAGGAGACACTTAGCACCTCCTCTAGGAGCAAGGCACACTCAGAAGCCCGCCTTTGCAGAGTGAGAAGTTTGTGTTTTTTTTCCTGTCCCAGCAGGTTTAGCCCATCACTTCTTGCATTTAATTATTTGCCTCTAAATAAGAGTGGTGAGCCGGGAGTTGTTTAACTGCTTGGTCCCCTCAGAGCAGATAAGAGGAGTCTGTCTCCAGTCTGACACTCCATTGTACAGCCCCTTCCACGCTGCAGACCAACTCTGCAGCCCTCTTCTCCATGAAGTCTGTGTCCCTACCAGGAAAGGGGCAGCAGAAAGCACACCTAGAGCTTGCAGCAGCCTGCTTCTTCTGGTGTGCTGAGAGGGTTAAAACCCATAAACCCATCCTCTCCAGGGTGTCAGAGCACTGGCTTTGTGCAGTGATTCCACCTGTACTTTTCTACTGGCAGAGACAGGCCTTAAAAATCCCCAGGGGAGCATCTCAGTTCAGGCAAGGGACATCACAGGGAGGTTTCCACAAGCCTGAGCCCTGTGTCTGGTGGTGTATAGCAGTGTACACACGTGGATCTGGTTATGGGGTTATGGTTATGCTGTGTGTGATCCTGCCAACAGGCAGGGACAGGAGATCACCTCGTTTGCCCTTTTGTATTTTTTTGAAAGCACGCTTAATTATATTGAGGCTGAGAACTCAGTGTCCAGCCCTTGGAGAGAATGCCTGGGACACAGGCTGGGTAATGGATGCTCCTATTCCTTTGCTGTCTGCAGCAGCAATTATTAGTTATCTGTCATGTAACAGCTCTGCGTCCCTCAGGTCTGGCCCTGTTCTATTGGGCTCTGAATAGCCACAAGAATTACTGTCCCCTTCCTCCATCCCTCCCCCCCCCCCCCCCCCCCCCCAAAAAAAAGAAAAAAAGACAAAACCCAAAAACACACAAACATTTTTGCATAAAATTTATTTATAAAACTTGTGCATAAGTTGTGCAAAATGTCTGTATTATTCTGTATGCCTCTTTTGAGGAGGAAAAACATAGAGAAAGGAAAAAAACACTAAGAAATGAAAAAAAACACTAATTATTTATTCTTAATGTTAAAATTTGTCACTAGTTTTGTGTGGTTAGTGGACTATTAGCATTTATTATTTGTTATTTTATTAAAAAAATGTTTATTTGAAGATTCATATGACTACTTGCAAACACTATTAAAGCAAGGTACTGTTTACAGATGGTTTTTGAAAGTGGTTCTTTCAGTTTATTTCAGGTAATCTGTATCATTAGTGATACTCTGCTTTTTTGGGAGCCACAGGTTTCACTTGTACTTTTATTTATTTAGGGGAGGAAAGTAATCAGTGACACAAAGTACTGTGGCTTTTAATGAATGAAAGCACAAAGGGGAAATTGTTTTAATTATTACTTCTGTTACTGCTAGTCTCCAGAATCTCAGACTACATGTGTGCTGAAGATCAGAGGTACTTTTTAGGGAGAAGTTGTCTGACGTTTTACCCAAAGCAGCTGGGGAAGCAGTAGAGACAGTTTTGTTTCTCGCTGTCTGGTTGTCAGGGCCAATTAAGTGGCCTGGTGTTGGAAGGGAGGGGAAAAACAAGAATCGCAAGAAAATGGGGAATTTTTGATACTGCTTCTATAACTGCTGTGCTAGCTTCTCAGAATAATGGTGTTTGTGTTTTATTTTTATTTTTACAACAATCGTGTTAATGTCAGGAAGCTTCATTTTTGGATTTAGCTTGACAGTGTTCAGTAAGTGTTACAGCAGCAGAAGTCATGTTGCTCTTTTCTTCACCTAAGTATTGCATTGCTACGGGAAAATCACAAAAGTAGCACAGTAGGTACCAAAATGCCTCTGCCTGGATGATTGTGTTGTTACAGTAACCCAAACAATCCTTAATTAAATTTCTCTGGCTGCCATGAGTGTTACATGCACTGAGATGCTGTTTCATTATGTTTTCCAGGGCCGGTGTACCCGAGAGAACTGCAAATATCTCCACCCTCCCCCACACTTAAAAACGCAACTCGAAATAAATGGACGCAACAACCTGATCCAGCAAAAGACAGCCGCAGCCATGTTTGCTCAGCAAATGCAGTTCATGCTACCGGGCGCGCAGCTACAGCCAATTGTAAGTTACAGCAGTGGATTGGGTTCATGTTGGTCCAGATTTGTTGTCTGTTTACTTCTGGAGGCCTCAGCCCTGTGCTTGAGGTCAAATAGGCAGATCTTCCTTCTGCTCTGACTCAGGCAGCATCTGGGTGGGTGTTGAGTACTGCCTGAGGGCATCCAAATGCAGGACTGAAGAGCTACAGCAAGCCTGGCCTTTGGGTTGGTCTCATCCAGTCTCTGTTGTCACATACTGTAAGCACAGGGCTCTGTGATGCTGCCTCTGCATATTCTTGCAAGGTGTGGCTCTCCTTTCCTCTGATAACTAAGTACCTGTGCATCAACTGGAAGCATCTTGGTGCTAGCTGGATTTTTGACCAGTTAATTCATGTACATCGCAGAAATTGAGTGTCTTGATTCCAGTGGGTCACATTTTGGATATCTGATCTGCACGGGGGTGAGGATGCTGGAATTCTTCTCTTCTGTGGCAAGAAGCCAGCTGAGTCCCTTGGACCAGGTACATTGCACTCAAGGGCTAAAAACATGGAAGGTGAATCCCACCCAGACTGTAAGGTATTTATGTCTGGGAGTGAGGTGAATTTCATTGCAGCTGCCCCAGCAGAGAACTGTGTTCATGTCACAGACCTGTCACGGTTTTTCAGTGATGCTGCTTTATACCTACAGCGGGAAAGTTTTACTTCTCTTCAGGTAGGGAGGGAAGCCTGTGGGAGGTAGGTGTTTGCAGAGCAGGTGGTTTGATGAAGCCTTCATTAGCTGTCCCTGCTGTGGACTACCAGTTAAAGCAGGTTTTCAGGCTGGAGAACCCTGTTAATGCCAGGGAGAGGATGGCTTGTGCCTGCTGGCTGGTGTATCTGGGAAGAGGCAACAATCGTCTGGTGAGTTTGAGTCTGTCACTGTGTTTATCTTTAAGAAAATGTCAAAGGTCTTGAAGAAGCTCTTCAGTGCTGACATAAATAAGCTGCACATTTTTAACTGTGAGCCTAATTAGGAATTTTCCATTTAAAGTCATGGCTGAATGTCTTTCCTGGGGCAGTGTGCACTTGATGTGCAGTTGCTGGGTGAGGCTCCTTGGGCTGTGCCACCCAGGAGGTCTGACTAGATCCCTAAGACAAACTCTTCTAGCCTGAAGACATATGAGTCTGTAAATCAGCCTGCACTTGGCCTCGTGGTGTCCCATCTACAGTGCCTGGCTTCTCTGCACAGATAGGGCTTCAGACTCAGCATCCATCACCCACTTTTGACAAGTTTGGGTATCGCTGGTTTATCTTTATAAGACATTGAGGGAGTGTTTTTCCTTCTTGGAGGCTGTGGTGCTGTTTGCTATAGGAGTTTGATATGATGTTGTGCTTCACTCTGCCTCTGGACTGAGGCATTTCTGCAACATGGCACATTCCTTCTTTCTTGTGAAGGCTATTGCATGATCATCCTGCATGTGCTAGCAGCTTTATCTTCACCCTGCTATGTAAGATAGGGAAATGCTGTTAATTCTTCCAATTTCAAAGGTGGAAAAGTAAAGCAGAAAAGAAAATGGGCCACAAGAAGAATCATTAGTTTCTCTGGATCTTAAACTCAAATCTGCTGCGGATTTTTGCACCTCTTTTTGTGGAGTTCGCTTTTCACCAAAGTGCATGTACATGAGAAGGAAATCCTGAACTCCCACAAAATGGTAGCACTGGTTTCCTAGCCCTGTATCGAAAGCAAACCTTTCCTGTTTGGGGTTTTCCTCTGTGGGGAATTCACAGTGGATGCTCTTTGGCTGGCTATTCAAAATATCTTTGGGATTTCCTCTTTGGAAAGTTCCCATCTTCCCACTTTGCAATCTTGCAGGTCCAGTTCACTTCTACCACAATTTCTCTGCTGCCTTTTAAATTGCCTCTGAGACTGAATCTGTTGCTTTGTCTAGTTAGTGCTCTCATTTCAGAGGTAACCTTATTTGATGAGAAAGGTCCCTGCTTTCTAAATTGTGCCATGAGGGAGACATGGGCAAAGAAGAAAAATAAAAATTTGTTCTGCGACGACTGTTCATTTCCTGCTTTCCCACACTTTGCTCAGAGTAAACGAGCTCTTGTTGTAATTCCTGCTGCCCAACTTGTTCCACACCAGTTTCAGGACAAACAGGAGACTGCTCTTTCACCTGCCTTTGATTTCCCAAAGATGCTGCCAGTGGAAGCAGGCTTTGAGATTTTTTTTTTCCTCTCTCTCTAAATGAGAAGGGTGGGGCCTCCTTCTGGCTACACATGAAATTCTTCAAAGCAAAAAGCATTATATCAGATGCAGCAGCAGAACAAATCCCATGTGATCAGAAAGCTGATCAACAGTATGCCTGCTTAATTGGGATGCTTGCCAGAGACAAGATTTGAAGCCGTATATTTAATAGCTCCAAACAATAGCTGAATGCCTAGACATTTTAAGGTGCATTTTCCCCCAGAAAAGCTACTATGTAAAAACAGTACTTAATTTAGCAGCTTTGCATCACAGTTCCTGAAATGGCATCAGGTGTGTCTGTGTATGAGCTTGCATCTAAACATTCACCATCAGATCTTCTTGCACCACTGCTGATATCCAGCGAGTGCTAATCTTCCTGTTGAACCAACAGTCAGGACCCTCATGATGCCTGTTTAATGAATGCACTGCTTGGAGAACTGTGTCCCAGGTGGGTTGCCTGCTGCACACTGCTCACAGAAGCCTACTAGGTGTGAATTGATGGTTGCTAGCGTGAGCCTATTTCTCTGAAGTCTCTGGTTGCTCTCTGATGTTGCTGTTAACCATCCATGCAAAGCTGAGAATCACATGAATGTTTGATGCCCATGATGCAGTTTTAAACAGAGTGCTTCATGCAGCACTTAAAAACAAGTCAGGCAAGGACACAGAGGAGAGTGTTTACTCTGTACGTTATACTCCTCTTAGAGGAACCTTGGGGAGATCACATAGGTGGCAAGTAGGAAGGCTTTGTAGTAAAATTTCAAGTCCAAATTCACCTTAACTGTTGGCTTTGGCTGAACGGTGTTGGAAGCTCTCTGGGATGGTTTTGCCTATGTTTCTGTTGAAGACCAAGTAGAAGTCAGCTTGGAGGTGGATAGAGCTGGGTTCTGGCATTGGTACGGAGAGCCATTTCAGTCAGTGCTCAGATTCAGTTACTTTGAGACGTGTGTGCAGAAATAAGGACACGAAAAGGTGATGCACCCTGGGCCTGATCCACACCCTTTTCATTCTGTTTCATCCCTTTGCAGCGGTATGAGGCAGACTTCTGGAGCTGGCCATGGAGGTGCTTCAGCACTGATTGTGTGACTGACCCAGTGGTGCCTGGTTGTGACTTTCAAAGTGCTGTCCTGTTAGTGCTGTCGGAACAGATGGCTGAATAGAGCACTGCAGTGTTGGTACAGCTGCCTCTGCTGCCTTGCAGCTGCTTCTACTGCTGCCCTGGGAAGTTGTTTCCCCTCTCTGCACTCTTTGCTTTCAAGCCCTACATTTTTTCTTCCTGTCACGCTCTTTGTAGACTGAACTGTGACATCAGTCAGTCATGTGCACCCCCAGTGACAACCTGATCCAGGCTTTAACCCAGCCCTCTGTCCCTCTCCTGGTGCAGCAGGTCCCTGCCACTGCCCTGTGGTACTGATCGAGGGGATAAAGCACAGGGTGACCAACTTTCTTGGCCAGTAACATGGATAAAGTGCAGCAGATTAGAACTGATATTTTAGGAACGTGCTTGCTCCATGCAGCAAAAATCTGGTCCTGTGGACCTGTAGTCAAAGACATACTACAAATGGATAAGCACAAATACCTTTGCCTGCCTGGGAGCTGGTATCTGCCAGCAGTCAGTGTCATGGGGCATTTACACCAGACTTTTATGCAACTGCAGCCCAGTCTTTGAGCTAGGAGTGTGTCTTTGTGGTCTGACTGGGGAAAGAAACATCTGTGGTAACAGGCAGCTGGACACTTTGTCCAGTTGGGTTCACTCCAGCACGCTCAGCCTTCATGCTAAAGTGATTGTCTTGCAGCAAATCTCATGCAGTTGCATTGCATGGGAACACGAGTTTTTGCTTTTTCTGAACAGTACCACTTGTGTCTTCAATATCAGGGTCTTCAGCCTTGTCAGTACAAGATCCTTATCTCTGTATTTCTATCACCAGACTGTAATAAAAGCTGCCTTTTTTTTTTTTTTCCTGGGTCTCTCATTTTCAGGCTTTCCCTTTTTAGGGGCTGAGCTAACTCAGAATCAACACTTCCCGCCTGAGGCAGCACTTGTGCTGTGCTCAACAAAACACCAACCGCTCCACTGCCTTCCTCTTCACACCCACTCTGTGTTTCTGCTGTAGCTTTAGCACAATTTCTGTTAGGCAAATTGAATGCAACTTCTAGTTTGTTAACAAAATCAGCTGTTCCAGGTCATATGTCATTCTGGTGACACACTCCTCCCTTGGACAGTCCCTTTGTGCTCACGCCTTCAACCAAACACCTCCTGTGCTCTGGATCTGGGAAGAGCTCAGAGCTGGGCAGTCAAACAACGGTTGCTGTGGACAGAGCAGCCTGAGTCTTTGGCAGGTGTTCCTCTGTGAGATAGTCTCTCAACACCCATTTCAGCTCTTTTTTTTAATTGTGAGCATTTTAATATTTAGTAAACGAGTCTTGTGAGCTGCTACTGGTTTGAGCCCCTCTGCTACTACACTGTAACCTGTTTCCCTCTGCTCAGGAGTTACTGGTAGTGTTTGCATATGCTAAGCTTAATAAAAGGCAGTCTGCAAGGAAACCTGTCTCTGTATTTGCTGAACTTGCAAGAGCTCTAAGGGGGACAACAAGGGAAAGTGGTGATGTTTTCCATTAGGCTGTTTTACCCCCAGAGCATACTGGTACTTGTGCAGATAGCAGTCTGACATGCATGAAGTTTTCAGGGAAAAGCCAGTTCGGTTTCTTCAGACTCACCTGGTAGAGTTGATCCCTAATTCTACTGCAGCCAGGCTTCCTGCTCCCAGCGGCATCCCTCTGTCCTCAGTCAGCATGGGGACCTGCAGGCTGCGTGCCCTGGTGTCCTGCAGCTCTGAAGGTGATCATCTGTGCTCCCAGTCATTAAAAGGAGCCTATTACGCAGGTCTGTCATTGAACCTTCTTAATGCTATCCAAGCTGGCTGTTGCCTGTGTCGTAGCAACCTGTGTCAGACCTCACGCTGCTCAGGCAGTAAGCAGAGCTGATGGCCGTGCTGATGCCTGGCAGCTCGAGGAGGTGTTGGGACTGTCCCATGGTGTCTCCAGCATCAGCGACTTCACCCAGCCCACCAGGCTCTTCCCTTGCACATGTGTTTGTCGCAGTCTGTACTGCCACAGGTACCCCAGGTGCTCGACTCAATTTATAGTGCCAGTCGTTTGGAATTTTTTTTATAATCTTTAAGGCAAGCTGAAGCATTTCAGCATTCCCACAGAGATGGTGCTTTCAGCCTGCTATTCAAAAGCTTTGTCATGATGCTTCATTAGTGTTGTTCCCTCATCAGTGATTTGGAGTTGCATTGTTGGTTTTTGCACCGAAATTACCTTAGCAGCCCTCTATCAGGGGCTCACAGCGTGTGTGCCTGTCCACTGATTATAAGACATTTTTTTTCTAGTGTGCAGTCAAAATATTGATCTGTCAGGCAAGTCTTCTACCCAGCTGCAATCACAAGAGATGAATGGGAGGTATGTTAAGGAGAAGACTGCTGTTTGGAGTAGAAATTACAGGCGGGTTCTGGCTGCAAGGAAGAAATTTGCTTCTATTCCCTCGGGACAGGCCTGGCACAGGGGACCTGCACAGACGTAAAGGGAAGAAAGATTTGGCTGGCAGCATCTTTATTACTGGTACTGATGCATAAGCCAGACTGGATTTCCCAATCCAAGACAGGCAGCCGGGGCTGGCAGTGAGCACAGCCCATCTTTTCCCCTCATCAGCCACAATAAATACAGAGCTCCCTGATGCCAGCTTACAAAGGAGCAGTTTTCAGTGCATTTAGCACGCATCAGACTTAGACACCCTGTGTTTTTTAGGTTTAATGCATTGAGTGAGCTCTGTTCGTTCTCCAGCTGTGCATCTGGATTTTAATAAATCCTTCTTCCCCTAGCTAGGCTTTGCCTCTGCTCTCCTGGGTTTCCTAGAAGGAGGAACCCTGGGTTGGGTTCAGGCTCTTATTTAAATATGGGATTTTCTGGGAAGATCTGCTGACAGGTGTGGCCTGAGGAGGGCTGGGGAGCTGCATCAGCACCCAGCAGGGCAGGAGAGGAACGTGCAGGTCTCCCAGTGGCAGTGCCTGCACGGCTCCTGAGTTTTAGTCCCCTGCCCTCGGGCAGGGTGCGGAGCAGAGCTGTAGCTTTCAGTCAGCAGCATCAGGTGCATGGTTCGTGCAGGCAGAATAAACAGCTATGAAACCTTGGGAATGCTGGAGCAGATGCCAGGCAGGGCATGGAAACAGGTGAATAACTGGTAGCAGGAATAAAATAAAAACCATCCTGATCCTTCGTGTACCCCTCTGTAGGCCCCAGAACCGGGAATAAATAGCACTCATTAATTGCTCTTCATGGATGTTTCTTTCACTTGCTTCACACCAGGTTCAGGTCTGTTAGCTTGTGTTTTGTGTTGCTTGCTCCCAGTGAAGAAAGGAGATGCCCATGAGAGTACGGCTTCGTAGATTGGGACTATGTTTCAGGGAGCAGGACTTGCCTCCCAGTCGTAGTGGTTTTTGTGGAGAAGCTGGTATATATAATCTCTTCGGGAACATTTCAAATATCCTGCTATATATTTCTGGTGAATTCATGCACTGTGAGGCATTGCAAGCCCCCAGCCTTGCTCCCTGGCTCCACAAATGCCCCAGCATCTTCCCCTTGAGCAGTGGGAGAAGTGCCTCTCCCTCATCCACACTGCTCTCTCAGGATACCTGGGATTCCTGCTGTATTAGGTGCTGGAAAAACATTGAGTAGATTTGCCCACATGTCTGTGAAAGCCACACGTACTGCAAGGTTCAAGCTACGATGGATGCCTAAAATAAGTGCTGACAATGTGTGTCAGGCCCTAGCATAATCCTGTGCAGACTGGCCGGGCTGAAGAAGCGCCTTAAAATAGAATTAACAACGTGCATTGTGACAGAAGTACAGCAAATGCCGTTGTAATTACTAGTGCTCGTAGGAGAGAAAATAGCCCAATGGATACTGCTTTCTCACTAAAGTGTTCAGGGAGTCACAGTGTTTGAAGATCCTTAAAGAGCTTTTCTAGCAGCAAAAGGTGTAATATGTCTGGGAGCCACTGAGAAGTGAAAGAGAGAAGAAAATGATTTATTAAAGGGCTGTGGACTGGAGGATCTCTGGGTTTAATAGTTAGTCTGCCATCAGCTCAAGCAGGGCTTGGATCAGGCTCAAAAGAAGGAACATTGGAAATCCCTCTTAGAACATTATTTGGTTCGCTACATTTAAAACACCAAGGCCCACTGATTCAGGAGGCTGTGTCTTGTCATTGTGGAGAAGAAAGTGGGATGTATGCTGGAGGTGACCTTTCCTATCAGCACAGGGGCTGCTGCTATCACTCTGACCCTAAGAAGAGGGCATCATTAGGCTAAAGATAGGTTAGGTCAGCTTAGCTGGTGTTACTGTGGGTTACTTTATTCCAGACCACAACGAGCAATGTGTTTTCTAGTATGTCAAAGTACTGGGATGAGTGTGCTTGATGCGAGTGGCCAAAGCTATGCCTGAGGCCATTTTGTAAGCACACTTGTGTTTATCACTAAGCAGAGGCTCTAGCTACTGAGGACAGTGTCGTGTATGCCAGTAAATGTGATCAGGCTTTAACTGTAACCCAGAGTTTCCAGTGGAACAGGTGACAGAAGGAAAAATAAAAACAGTTGCAAGTCATGGGGTGTTTCCCCTGGGCTTTGTTGAGCCACTGTTAGGAGAGTAGAAATGCTTCCTTGCAGGCTCTTGCCATCTGGGTGGTCGGGGGTTACTTTACATCAACTGGGATTGGTTCCGTTCCCAAACACACCTCAGATCTGGTGCTTGAAAATTTCACAAACTCCCTGACTATAGGGGCTATTCACAGACTTAAACTCCTAAGCAGGTATTGAATTTTAGTATGATCTTGCCTACCTAGGAGAATGGAAATTCTTCTAACAGACTGGAATTGCCGGAGAAGTTCAGGCAAGGGAAGCTGGTCTCTGGCCAGCTGCACTCTCCTCTGCTCTTCTTGCAGGGCCTGCCTAGGGCAATTAAGGATTCAGGAACAGTCAAGGTCTTTATGGCCTGATGTTCTGTCTCCTCATGGGAACATCGCTTCTCGCAGCACAGGTGGGGTCCTGAGCCTTTTACTGGCCCACCTGAACGAGCCGTCTCACCTGGCATGCTCTGACCTTGTCGCTTCCAAGCCAGCTACCCATCTGCTCTTGCAAATCTCTGAGGTCTGGCATATTGTGTCGCTAATGATGTTGGTGTCCTCTTGTAGCCATTCCCGTGGAGTGTAGGCGCGGGATGTTCCTGTAAAATGGCTTTTGCCTGGAGGATGTTGTCAGTCTGAAACCTATCAATGTGCAGAATGGTAGACCTTGAAGGGTATCAGGGCAGAGATGCCTCACGACTCTGAATGATCCAGTTTGTCTACCTGAGCCAGACTACCCATGGTAACCTGAAACTCAGTGCAGGTTTATAGTAAATTCAACCATGTAACTAACTGGGTTACCTGCTTCTAGGTCCTGAAGCTTCAGTTTACCTTGAGGTCCCTGTACAGCATTGTGGTGTAGACATACAGAAGCTGAGATATTTATTTGGAAATGAGAAGTCTGTTTTATTTGGGCCTGCCCTAATTGCTGGCATGAAATCCTTAATTGTGTCATTAGACTATAAAGATCATCAATATGCTTTGATCTGACAAATAAAGATGCCTTGTGTTCAGGATGAGTCACAAATTTGTGAGTCAGGAGAAACGAATAGATCACAAGTAAATGGCGATAAATGAATAGATTGAAGAGCACAGCATTTTGATGTTGCTAATCGAATTGTTTAAAAGGATTGAAGTGCTTCAAGGCTTTGACTGGATAATCCAAAGGAGAGCTCTTTAACTAACATTTTGTTTTTCCTTTTTCTATACACAGACAACGTTTCCTGTGACTCCATCGCTTGCAACAAGCCCCACGATGGCTTTTAGTCCCTACCTGAGTCATGTCTCTCCTGGGATGGGCTTAGTTCCTGCAGAGCTTTTACCAAATACTCCTGTCCTGGTTTCTGGAAATCCTACTGTTACAGTACCAGGAGGCTCTGCTGGGCAGAAACTGATGCGTACGGATAAACTGGAGGTATTTGGACATCTGATTTAATACTGCTAAAGGAAATGAACAGGGCATGTGGGTCCAACTGTTCCACTCTGCTAGTGTGACCTCATGCAGTGTAGCACAAAGTTAAACTTAGACCTCTCCTAAAACCAGGCTGCTGCCCTCTCCTTGGGCAGACTTATTTGCAGACCAATCCCAAAATCTTATGAGGTTACTGGAAAACTGGGAGCGCTCACTCTTCTGATTTCAGTAGGCATTAGAGCAGGCATGGAATTGTTGTTTACTGTGTGTGATTTGCCACGGTTACAAAAAAAAAAAAGGCAAGTAGATAGTCTGCCCTTTAACTGAGTTGAGTGGGAGATGTTTTGGAATGACAACAAGAGGGTGGAAGTAACAGACACTTCCCTTGTCTTGAGACAAGCTTACTAAGTTTTTACAGAAAATATCAAGCATTATGCTGTTGGGATTGCTGAGTACAGGGCATTGGAAAGACATTTCCCCGGCAGGCTTGCCCTGACAGTTGGCTGGGCATGCTGGGACTTAGTGTTGGAGGAGTTGTATACATCTTTCAGACCCTGAGCAGAGGCTCTGTAGGAAATAAGGGCTGAGGACTTGAATGCAGAGGCTCCCGCAGGTGTAAATTATAACACAGGAAGGTAGTGGAAAAGGGTGTCATTTCAAAACATATTGTTTTGTGTTATGTGCTTTGTATTGCATTGCTGATTGCCTCCTTTCTCACGTGACAGCTCACCTTTCCCTGCACACAGTCTGATAGCATTCCGGTATGTGATTTACGCCACTGGCTGTAGGCCTTAGCAGTGTTTCTTAGTTCTTTCATACCTTCAGACAAGGAAGCCTTGAAGATCCATTTTGTGAAACCTTTTTCTCTACCTTTGCTGCTTCAGTGCTCATAACTTATGAGGAGCTGCACGATCTTTTTAAGGCTAGCAGTTTTGGCAACTCCTTATGAACACATTGCAGTGGAATCAAATGCGCTGTCATGTAACCCCGAGGTCAGAGTTTTATTATTGAGGGTAGTGAGACTATATACATGGAAGACGTTATTCATATTTAAGAATGAGAACCTGTTGCAAATTCCACAGTTTGCAACATTTAGAATTAAAAGTCCTACCCATGAGTATGCTCCATAAAAAGAATATATATATATACATATGTATATATGTATAAAATTCACCTGGGACACAAATGGCAGAGTTATTAAAATATTTTTTTTTAAACTTTAGAGGCTGGGGAGGAGTACTGAGCTCCTCGAGTTTTGGCAAAACACCATTGACTTTCCAGGTTCAGGATTCAGGTCACTTTCCGTTTTGTACAAATTCTGTACTTCACTTACATTTGGTAATTGGCATTGGTAACAATGAGTTTTCCTCATCTTGTGAACCAGTTATGAGTAGCACCAGTTGTCCCTGTGACTGTCTAAGTGGTACCCAAGAGCATGAATTTAGAGCATGAATTTAGAATATACCCATAATTTAATTCAGCCAAAGAACTGATATTCTGTGTTGAAAATACTAAATGAAGAGTAGCGTGATGTCTTTCTCAACAATGTGACTTTCTTTTAAGGTTTGTCGAGAGTTTCAGCGTGGAAATTGCACACGTGGTGAGAATGATTGCCGTTATGCTCACCCTATAGATATTGCAATGATAGACACAAATGAAAATACTGTTACAGTTTGCATGGATTACATCAAAGGTCGATGCTCTAGGGAGAAATGCAAGTACTTTCATCCCCCTGCACACCTGCAAGCCAAAATCAAGGCAGCTCAACACCAGGTGAACCAGACAGCTGCAGCTGCAATGGTAAGTAGAGCTCTTATCAAGCTATATTTCTATTGCTGAGAGATTTCATTTGTGTTATATGTGTCATTTGCGGAAGAGTATTTTGTAAATTGCTGAATAGAGAGCTGAGACCATGTGCAGTGTGAATCCCATCTTTCCATCCTTTGTGTGTGCTTGCTGTAGCATGAAGCACTGAGTGAGGCAGTGCCATCTCACCAGTTAGGGATGCAGTGTTGAACCCTGTGATTTTCTGACAAGACATCATAAGGTGAAGTGCATCAGGCCTGAAAGCAAGTTCAGCAGTACACGGAGCAAACACCTTCCTGCTAAGACGCAGGTGTCAGGTTAGCTTCCTCAGTACACAATGAAAGGAAAAAAATATTCATATTATGATATATCCTTTGCAGGGGAATCTTGGCCTGTTGAAGTCAGTAGCAAAATTTCCACTTACTTCAAAGCAGACAAGGTATCAATTGTTCCATCCTAGCAAACAGGAGGCTTGTGCCTATTACTTTAGCCAAGGCTTAGTGAAATGACAAGTCTCAAATCAAGGATCACTTCCTGATCTGTTTGATACTTAGAGCCTGGTAAGGATGGTCCCACCTGCATTTTAACTTGAATTGTGATTCTAATACCTAGAATTATAAAAGTCAAAGAAAACTTACGGGCATGGATCAAATTCCTAGGTAGAGTGAATGTTTGCCATTCTGTTGACTTCCCTTTAATGACACCTTCATTCTAGTTGGAAACTTGTCTTCCAACAGTACATTAGAAAAATCTAGTTGTACTGTTGAAATTGTCCAGAGTGGGGACGATATTGCTGTTATGATTTTTTCTTGTGCCCTCGTGGCAAAAAGGGCCAACAGCATCCTGGGCTGCACTAGGAAGAATAATGTCTGCAGATCAAGGGGGGTGATCCTTCTCTTCTCATTCCTGGTGAGGCCATAACTGGCAGGCTGTAGCCAGTGCTGGGCTCCCCAGTGCAAGAAAGACATGGACATACTGGAGTGAGTCCAGCAAAGGATTCACTCAGATGAGTAGATGAGTGTCAGATGCTCCAAGTTCTTCATCATCTGAACTACACTGGGAAAGGCTGAGAGGGCTACAACAGCTGGAGAGAGGGATGGGAGAGGGTAAAGAAGACAGAGGCTTACTCTTCCCTGCAATGCTCAGCGAAAGGACAAGAGACAGTGGGCACAAATTAAAATACAGGAAATTCCATATGAATGTAAGAAAAAAGATTCCTTACTGTGAGGGTTGCCAAACACCAGAACAGGTTGTTCCATCCTTGGAGATACTCAAAACCTGCCTGGATGCAAGGTACTTTAGTTGACATTGCTTTGAGCAGTAGGTTGGGCCTTTCCAGTCTCATCAGTTTTGTGATTACGTGAATAACCAACAGTAAAAAGGTCCTTGCCTCCTTTTTAATTTAGAAGTAAGGATACCTCTATTTTTCTAAATACCTTTTTTTAAGACAGTTAAGAAGGTTGCTTATCATTCATGGTGAAACATAGTACAAAAAAGGGGAGGATTCACAAATGTTTTTCACATTACCGGGAATGTAACTTGAAGAACCAATTTATAATGGAGTATTTATCTCTCCTGAACAGTTTATTTGTTATATTTCTTATTGTTTTTATTATTATTGAAACAGCAGCCAAGGTCTGTTGAAAAAGACCCTTCTGAAATTAAACTCTTGTGTTTTTTACAATTGACACCTTACTTTTTCACTAATAATCTAGGACACTGCTACTTAACTAAAGCCAATGCATGTTTTATTCATGCTGCCGGCTTCTCTTAAAAATGTAATTAACCTTATTTGTATGCTGTTAACTAGAACCTTTAAAATATTTATTGATGGCTTGTTGCATCACCCTTGCCACCAAAACAGCTTACATTATTCATTGACTTTTTAAGTTTTGATGCACTTACTGTACCTGTTGAGGAATAAGACTTTATATTAAAGCAAAGACTGGTGCCCAGTCTTCTTGGATCAAAAATCACGTGCCAGAAAAATGGGTGTAATAAGGCCTTCTAAAATAGATTTGGAATGATTCCAAATCTAAATTCAGAAGACATTTCTGAGGGACACAATCCTGCAGTTACTTTTCACACATGAGTAGTAGCTCTACTCTCTGCAACTTGGCTCAGGACTGTGCAGCACAGCCGGGTGAATTGGGTCAGGCTCACTCCCTGGTTCAGGATCACACTTAAGCTGTGCTTGAACCTTCCTTCTTTACCAGTGGTCCTTTTCCTGCCATGAGCCCTCCTGCTGACCTCCACATGTAGCTGCAGAATTAGGGCTGGAGCCCAGTGCGAGTCCACGTGCAGGTTCTAATCCCCAAGCATTCCTCACCCGCTGTGCCAGCTGCAGTGAAAATGCTCTAGGGCACACGCCCATGATGTTATTTCTTTATTTCTGAAATTTACTAAGGCAAAATAGCTGACTAGCCACTGGGCCAGGTAATTACTCAGACATCCCATGTTGTGCATGCCTCGTCTTTTTAATATATTGTATAATGCATTCATTTTTATTTTTTTCTCTTCACCTCCCCAAAATATGGCTCTCTTGACACACCTCTGCTTGCTGTTTTTGTTACTGTGCTTGACCCCCCTCCCTGGCCCATTGCCATCATGTGCTCGCTGCCTGCTAATTAAGACTCAGCCAGCTGTCAGATCACTGAAGCGACCGCTCGAGGCAACCTTTGACCTGGTACTTGGACCTTTCACCTTCTCGCTTTGCACGTAACCATCTGCATGAAAGCCTTCCTCGCTTGGTCTGTTGTGTTAGTGCCTGGGGAGACTGCCCATCCGGGTCAGAAATGTTAGTGTCCTTTCAGACATGCCGATCCTGCACCCACACGCCACCCATTAACCACGTGAGCTTTTCCTTCTAAAGCCCAGATGTGTTTTGGAGGCACAGAATAATCCTGGGCGCCTTTGTGGTGGCAGGCAGCTCAGGATTTTGAGCTACTTTTTCCAAACTACAGCAGCAGAGTTGTGAAATGCAGCATTTTGGTGGGGATTTAACTCCGTTAGGTCTGCACTGTGCTGGATATGCCACAGGATGGGGTGGTGCAGGATAGATCCTGTTCCTGCCACTGAAGGCAGAGAGGCTTTTTGTGGTGTGCCCAACAACATGGCCTTGCCTGGCAGTGTCGTGCTGGTACTGCCCTTGGCAGGGTGTTCTGTTTGATGGGCACAGACCAGATTTAGGACTTCTCCAATCCTGGCTGTTTCCACTGTTGAGAGAAGCAGAGAGAGCTAAGCAGCGTCACAGAGATTTGTGCTGGGAGCTGAAGCATGTGTAAGGCAGAACTTTGATCGTGTGTTGGGTAAGCTGGGAAGGCCATGGCTACTGCAGCTGGCTCTGGCTCTGGTTCCTCCCCCTATATCAGCAAAAGCACCTGGCTCTGGGTGTCTGTTTGCTTCTGCCTCAGGCATGGGATCTGCTTTGCAGCCTTCTGCCTGCAAATTGCCTTCATGCAAGCTAATTTTGATTATTTTCTAAGCCCCAGATATATTTACCCATCTTTGTGATCCTCACAGTAAGGCAAAAGTCATCCTCCCGGCCTGCTGTCAGTCCTGGCTCTGTAGAAGACAATTCCTTCTCAAATCACCCCAATGTGAGGGATTTAATACATCCTAAAAAAAATCTAGTCCCAAAGCTGTAGGTGGAAAGGGAAGAGTGGACACGGAGTCCTGAAACCTTCGAGCCACTGTTGCTCACCGTTCCCAGCACTGGGAAGCACAGCTGATCTGCTCCCCTTCCCCTCTGGCTGGGCAGATGCCTTGTATGAGCAAGGATTCCCCCACCTTTCTCATTCCCTGTGTCTGGTTGTTCCTCATCCCCAGGCTGAGCAGGTCACCTTCCCAGGGGTCTCAGTGGGATGAATATTCCCTCCAATGCCAGTGAATATTAGCTCAGGCAGGGAGGCTGTTTTTCCCAGAATGGGAATGTCAGCGTGTTTCTTTAAGCTCTGTTTGGGGAACATTTAAATGAAAAGAGGTTGTGTTGAGTTTGGCCAGAGGCAAAGCCCCTTTGGCAACTTCGCAAGACTTGAGCTGTTTTTGTTGGTGGTTGTGGTGGTTTTTGTGTGTGTGTGGTGTGTTTTTGTGTGTGTGTTTTTATTTTTTTTTTAATAGTCAGCAGGCTTCCCTGTTGCAGCTTTAGACAGCAGCATGAGGAAATCTTGTTAGGGGCCAGCTTCCGCCAGCAGGCTGGAATTACACTGTGACTGACACAACAGCCTCTCAGTGCTCACTGCTGGCACAGGCACAGCCCCAAAGCCAGCTTAGACAGTGACCTACGTAGTGCCTCGCTGCCCTTGCTGAGAGCCACCTCGCTTAGGAGACAGTCTGGCTGAGAATGGGAAAGCCCAGTAACTCCCCTACCCTTCCGACCTTCCCCGCTGAACAAAACCTGATCAGATAAGGGACTTTTAATAGTCTTCCTGCCTTGGAATATCTGAACGTTTTCAGCTATAATGTTGGCATATGTCACCTCCTCTGAACCCTTTGTGAAGGCTGCACCAGAGAATGATTTACAGTGCCGATAAGAACACACATCATCTTCAGAGGAAACTGCTCAGATTGGTTCCCCTGCTTGCCAGGGAATGGGTGCAACCTCTGCCCTCTTTCAAATCATTCTATCTGTTGTGACTTGGACTGAAGCAGCAAGTCAGATACGGAGCCAACCCCTCTAAGCTAAGTGCAAAGGAGTGAAAGTGCGATCTGCTCCCAGGAGATACGGATCTGAGGGGAACTTTGAGGCGCAATTAAATTGTTTGTTGCAAAGATTTAATCCAGTTCCTGTCTTGCAAAAAAATAACAAGAGAGAGTTGTTAACCTGCACGTGGGAAATCTTGACTTAGGCATGCATTGCATTTTTGTCTGTCATTCAGGCTGATTTATTTCTATGCCATGCAGAGAAGTGACAAATCTTTTTGTTCAGATACTCATATTCCAGCAGGAATGTGGCTTTCCCAGCCCCAAAATGGGAGACTGCCTGGCATTTTTCTAGTGGGAATTGTTCACTAGGATCAGTTCGGGCTATCAAATAGATACTGAACAGAAAAAAAAAAAATTAACCCCTTCATGAGTGCAAATGGCCTGATCATGTTACAAAAGTTGCATATCTGTGTGCACGTGGAGACAATAAGAATCAGAAAAGGTTACTGTCAGCTATCAAAGGTTACTGCTACATCTGTTTTGACTGAAGTTTGTCCAGAGGGCAATGACAAGCAGCACTGTGTACCAAACAGCAGGGCAAACTGTCCACTTGCCCGACTCTCAGTAGCTGCAGTGGTGATTAACTCAAGAGTTAGATAGGTTGGCAAAAATAGGAGTTCTGCAGGACATGCTCTGGTACGGATGCTTCCCCAAGAGCTGGCGTGGGAGAAGGACACCCAGAAGGCTGTCAGAACAGGAGCAGACCAAGATAGGCTCTGACTCTTGTGCCCAGGGAGCTCAAGTGGCAGAGCTGGCCTCTGGGCTGCACAGCAGCCACTGCAGTGTGCTTGCTTCTTTAGGAGACTGTAGAAATGTTACGTTTATTTAGGCTTCTTCACCCCAGCTGCTGTGTAGGCATTTCCCAAAGGTGCTGTTCAGGCAACAGAAATGGAATTGCTGTAGCTGCATTCTCTCCCATGCCCCCAAGGGGATGAAGCTGGGTAGGTAGAAGCACAATGTTAGAGAGACAGTAGGGCAGACTGTTGTGCCTTGACATCCCTGTGGCTTGTTCGTGTTTATATGCCACCTCTGACTGCAGTGCTGGGCTCAGGAATTGTCCCATGTGTAAAGAGACAGCACTTCACAGTGAGATCTCAAAGCTTTTGGCACTGACGGTAGGGATAATGAACTTTTTGGGGTGGTGACAGCCTTTGGCCAAGAAGCAAGGAGTCAAAAGTCCATTACGTGCCTGGCACAGTTGCTTTGCTATAATTAGTAATTTCTTTTTTCTTAGGCAGATTTTGGAAAAAGCATGTTTTGCAATCAGGCGCAGTAAGGAATATGGATTTAAGCAGCAAGTTCTTCAGTTACTGTAAATCTGTAAAGCACCTCTGATGTCAGTGGAGTTACTACAGTCTCTTACAAGCTGCAAATCTGTTTTGTGCCTGAAGGAACATTCATGGAACCATCATTAAATAGACATGATGTATATAAAGACAGATTTAGTGTAGATATCAGTGGGGGCTCCCCTAAAAATGGAAACGCTTTGATCTTTACGTAGAAAACCTCATCCTAAAATATAGATCTTAAGCAAGAGACTTTGGTTTCTGTCTGAGAATGCTGGCTCATGTTTGATTGCTCTCTCTTGATACTAGCCAGAAGAAATCTAGAAAGATATCATTAAGTCATAATGCTGGCACTGGATGTCTGCTAGCATTAGCAGAGGATGTGTGCATGTCTGAGGGCAGTTTTGCAAATGCAATTTCTTCTACTTATTTATTTTTTTAATATTAAAGGTACCCCAAACCACCATGTGAATAGCAATAGGTTGGAGTAATGTTTTGCCTGGAAGTGTCTTACTTAACGTTTCTCAGATGAGCAGTCTCCTGTAGCAAATTAACTTTAAAGTGAAACCTGTTTCTAGATGGTGACAAACTGTTGCAAGCTTTTGGTTATATTCTGTTGCCTGTTGAACTTCATGATATTTTAAAATACCTCTTCCCTTGTTGTGTGTTAGTCTTCATGACATTTTAAAACCTCTCTTTCCTTGTGTCCTTTCTTACAAGTACTATGTGTTTGTAGCCTTAGCTCTTCATTAGCTAAACCTCCCCTAATACCCACCCTTCGCTGTCATTTATTCAAAAAAAAAAAAAAAAAAAAGAAAGAGGAGTGATAACCCTATGGTTCAGCCATTGCTTTGCTACATGATATAAAACACAACTAGGCAGAAATGACCTGATTCTGCATGACTTCCACGTGCGTAAATCTCATTGACGTCAATGGGAGTGTTACGTGCAAAAGGACTGCAGGGCATAATTAAAAAGGACCCTTTTCTATCACAATGTGGAAAAAATTGTGTTTTTTGCTTGGGTACAATGAGAAGCTGTAAATCATTAGACACGTTTCTGTCTCCTAAGAACCTGACATACTACTTCGCTGTTGAGACATGCTTTTTGAATGATGAGTACCTTACTGAGAGAAGTTCCTGAGTTGGGTTAATGCTTTTTACCAAGTCTGATCATGAAACAGGTTTGACGGGCTGGAAGAAGCACTGTGGTGTGATAGAACAAAAAGAAAGGATTTGCCTGATAGCAAGACCCACCCAAATCTTGTTCGAACAGCAGATTTGTCAATGGCTTTTTCCACTGTTAATAATGAGCAAGCGGTATTTAACTGTTGGAGGCCTTCTTCTAGTGCTGTGCTACTAGAAATTGGGAGCAAGTCCAAATCTACTGTTTGTGAGCTTTGCAGCTGTTGCAGGCAGCAGAGAATCAGGCCTATTCTTGGCTATGTTGCTCAGCCTCACTAATAACAAGTGGAAATGCATTTTACTATGAATGTGACATTATATGTGTAATTGGCAACAGCTTTCACTTGACCACCTGAACACATGGGTCAGCTGCATACAAGAGTGCACACTCCCACAAATGTACACATCCATGTAGGCAGGTATTGGAATAAGCAGAGGCAAGCATCCCTAATTTTTCCATGGCACTTATTACTTACGCTAATCTTTTTGTTTTTAAATAGTCATCTACTGTGTTTCTCTTAGCTGGTATGTTTTTTAAATGCTTGTTGCCTGCAATTGTGCTTTGTGGTATCCTGTCCAGATGATCACCTCTTCCCTTCTTCCCCCTCATGCTTTTTTTCCAAGTCAGTCCTGCTGAAAATCTTCCTTAGTGTTTCCTCATTCTGGACTCTGCCCCTGTCTCCTGGTGCATTTACTAACTGCTTACCTAGTGAAGCTGTGGTTACACCTCCAACTTTTACTGTGATTTAGCTGCTCTTCTATTTCCTGTCTGCTAAGTTGATACAGTTGCAGGTGATTTGCAGCCGAGACCCCCTATTATTTATTGCATGCTCTGTCTGCTTTTGGGTCTCTTTTATATTCCACTTGTCTTTAATGACTCCCTTATCCACAGGCCCTGCCGCCTGGTGCACTTCAACCTTTACCAAAGAGGCCAGCACTTGAAAAAAACAATGGTGCCACCACAGTCTTTAACCCAAGCGTTTTCCACTACCAACAGGCTCTAGCCAACATGCAGTTGCAACAGCCTACGTTCATCCCTACAGGTAAGTGTTTCCTTGCTTTCCCCATCATCATTGCTTTCTTTTTATGGCCTAGACATTGAGCTAATAAGCAGATTTATAAGAGTCCTTCACAAAAGAGTATTAGTTTATAAAGTTTCATGTTAAAAAATCAGTGGAAAGTTAATGTATGTTTGACTTTTTTCCTTCACCTAATACAATTTAGAGCTTTTCACTTGTAATGATCCCTTCTTAGCCTTTTCTTTTTTTCTTTTTTTTTTTTAAGCAAACTAAGAAAAATGTCTGCATGTTTCTAAATTCACACTTCCTGTTTCTCCTCCTTATGGTTCAACTAGTTAATCCCAAATTAATTCTTTGACTCTTGTGTAGCTATATTATGGACTCATGTTAAAATGTTTGGTGGACCTCTATGTAGAGCTGTCCACTCACTTCAAGCTGCAGGTATCTTTCTAACCTTCTGTCTCAGTGACCTACATATTCCAGCAGCTGTGATGTTTATGGAGGGAATGGCTCATCTTCAGTAAATACAAATTATATAATCCTCTTTAAAGTCATATATTTTCCTATTGCGTGTCTTTTGACCAGTATGATAACCTAAGATTTTTAAAAGCAATTTAACTCCCAGCTTTTATTGTACCTTTAAGGTCTCAGAGTAAAATTGAAAGATGCAGTTCAGTAATTCATATAGAAACTGAAATATTGACGTGGCAGATGTGATAGCTGACTAGCCAATTAACCTCTTCGCTGCAGCCAAATTAAAACCAAAACCTGCTTAGTACTTAGTAAGTACTGAAAGTGGCCGAAAAAGGAAATATTCCAGAGTTGATAGCTCATTTTTAGTATCAGTATTTTCATTGCAGAGCATCATATGAAAATGAATGCCTGAAGTTTTTAATGTCTAATGCTGTATTCATATGCCAAATTTTATATTTACAAAAACATACAAAGTCTTTCTCTGGGCTGTCCATGCAGTGAACATGCAGTGGCCCTGGACCTTGGCTTTGCCATTCCCTGAGGTCAGGGAAAAAGCTTTGAGATATCCCAGTATTGACACCAAACTGCATTTCAGGTGTGAGCTTGGATCCAGAGAGCTGAGACCTAAACACTGGGTTCATGTGGCCTGTATGTTATGAGAGTACTTGGAAATATTCAGAATTCAGTAGATGCCGGAATGTTTTTCCTGGGGAATTGGGTCTTGTGTGAAGAGATGGATGGAGGGACTAAGCCGGAGCCTTGTGCTCTGCAAAGTGCTCTTGGAGTGGATCGGCTATACCAACCTTACCACAACTTTTTCAGATTCCAACTAAAATACAACCTCATAAAACAGACACTTTCTAGAAAGTGAAATCTGTGAGCTGGCTACATGCTTCCGTCCCTTGAGGTTGCAGTCTTCAAAGCTGCCATAAAGACCTACATTTCTGATGCAAGCACTATAAATTAGCTTTTACCCAGAACTCTTGTAGTGCTGTTGTGCCCTGTCTCATGGGAATAGAATTACACACAGGCAGATGTGTAACAGGTCTGTTTACTGGCATCTGCTCTCATCTGACGATATTAACACTGGTCAGAGGAGTAAACTTCCAGTCACAGAATGAATCTCTGATGAATTTACACATCCACGTTTTCCCTTCCTGATGCATCAGGCTGAAAATCTGATCTAAGCCTTTGCAGCACTCTTGAAAGCAAAGCAGAGAGGTGGCATGTAACAACTCACATGGCTGGGAGTGGAAGTGAGTGGTTGTTTTTGTTAATTTCGCCTTTGCAGTTATTGAGAGATCAGCATCATGGTTTCCCATCGAGCCAGGGGGAGTCAGAGTGAATATTCAAAGTGGTGTCAGAACTGCAACTGTTTCAAATCTAAAAGCAACTGCCTCTTTCAGTTTAAACTAGAGACTTTGAATCCCAATCCTTGCTTTCAGGAGTAAATTGTTTTTAGAAAATTGGTTTTAACATGAGTGTGTTTTTCCTATAAAGCAAACTTGTCTGTTGACATCATCAGAAAAAAATCAACACACTTGATACCAAAAAAAACAAAAACCACCAAACAGCCCTGATTTGTCGGATAGATCACATCACCTAATACCAGGGTTGGAGAAGAAATACTTTTTCTACTACCCAAGAATTCAAGAATTAATTTGGTTTGCTATGTTCTCTTAAAACTGAGTTTAAACTATCTATGTATCAACATGCAGAATCTGTTTTGCATGTGCTTAAATATTGAATGCTGCAAAGAGAATACCTGCTTTTTAGTTAAAGTGATTTCTAACACTGAAGCTTCACTAATGAAATATCCCTTTTGTTCATCTTTCCACGCTTCAATGCATGGTGTGCAGGGTCAGTTCTGTGCATGACACCCACTGCAAGCGTTGGTAGGTTTTTCTACACAAACTTCTCAACTTTTCCTAATCTGAAAGAGACAGCAAATTAGTATGCATCAGTGAGAACCTGGGTGGCTGAGTGGTGTGACTGTCTATCCGCTGTCTTCTTTGAGGCTTAAATGGTTGTATCCCTTTTAATTTCTGTGCAGTGCAGTGTTTTGTGTGACTAATATGAGAATCCAAGGCGATGCATTCCCACCCCTATTTAGTTCTGCTGCAGAGACAAAAATCTGTCAACCTAAATGTCTTTATAACCCATTTAAGTCATCCAACAAAAGAAATATCAATGGGAGGTTACTCTTGGTTTATTATTTTTGTATCAGGTGTATTAGCATTCAGATTTTTGGTCGTCCTTCTGAGGACATTTTAAGAGACTGTTTTAATAAAGGCTTTAAGAAGGAATGTATCCAAGGTCAGCCCCTTTACCAGAGCAGGGTGCTGCTTTTGTACAGTGAGTGAAGAAGAGCTTAAACTGTGGACCAGCTGAAGATTCATCTCTTTAGTAAATTGTCAGCTGTGCAGGTACAAGTTGCTGTGAGGAGGTACCAGGGATGCAGTGAGGCTGAGAACATGCTCTCTGCTGCTAACATAGAGTCTCAGGATCCGGCATATGCTAGGAACCTGTGTGGGTCTTTGAGGGACCCTCCCCTCTCTCTATGGCTGCTGGGTACAGCAGGATGGGTGAAAGCTGAGATTTCATCCTCCAGTCAAGGTTATAAAGACTGCAGCCATCCAGGAGCGCACCTGCTTCAGCCAGAGTGAGAAAGAGGGGAGCAGGAGCTTTGGGGAGGGAATAGAGCAGGGCCTCCAGGGAACCATTTGGGGTAGCCTGAAAGCCAGCAGCTTTGGCAGAAATGGCTGAGCACTCTGCTCTTGAACATCCCCATCCCTCCAGGCTGCTTTATCCACCTGAGGGTGATCCTGCGGGGCAGGAGGCCCTGTGGGCACAGGGTTATCCCTGCTGCTGAATCCTGCCATCGCTCCTGCAGGCCCCAGCTCCCACTCCTGGTGGACTTTGCTGAATCCTATGTCTGTGCTGAGATGGGCTGGGTGGGAGCACACACAGACAAGCTATGGCTGTGGATATACCTGGGTGACCGCAGTAGCCTCTGAACTGTCCCTGTGGAAGGCCAGGTGTGTCTCCAGGGTTTTGGTGCCAAAAAGTTCACTGCTGTCTGCTGCTCTGCGCCCAGCTCTTTCCTGGCCAGGAGGAGAAATCAGTGGCTGCAGGTTGGAGTGATCCAGGGCAGCATCCTCCCCATCCTCCCGTGGGTTTGGGGGGTGGCTCTGTGCACCCCAAGAGCATCCCCTCCAGCTCCGCGCTCCATGGGAAGTGCAGCTTCGAAAGGCTGCCGAGCTCCCTGCTGCTGCGTTGTCCTTTCAGATGCTCTTCCTGCGAGTTGTGACCGTTTGAATGCATTCGTGAATTTCTCCCACTCGGCCTCCTCCCCTTTCTATTCCCTCCTACCTCGCAAGGAGGGAATTTTGCCAAATCCTCTAGAATTAGAGCGGAAAGGAAGCACGCTGGATTTGTGCGGAGAGAGCTCGGGCTGCTAGCCGCTCGTCTGCAGTGCCTTCACCCCTGTACTGTGCCGAAACGTCCCCGCTAGAGAGAGGCGAGAAAACCCGGTTGAAGAGCCGCTCTGCGGCTGCTGGCCCGGCGAGATCGTAGCCGTGAAATGGGCCCTGCCAGCGGCTCGCTGCAAAGTGCATCATGTACCTCTGGTTCCTGGCGGGGACGGGGAGGGGAGGGAAGGGGATGAGCTTTCCAAGGCGGGTGGGAGGGTGCGCTTGCCAAAATGTCCCCACCCAAAGGAACGTGCACTGGCTGTGTCTAACTCCCCACGGGTGCGAGCTGACGTGGGCTTTTGCTAGCACACCCGCCCTCCCCCCCTTTGGAAATTTGGCCCTCGGAGTCTAATACATCATTGTTCTGCTTATAAATGTACTAAGTGTTGAGAATGTTTTGGTTTTTTCCTTAATTATAATTGTAATTGGCTTTTCCCCTTCTCTCTTGTTTATTTTTTTTCCCAACGCTGTCTTGCTTTGCACTGTGATTGCATGCTGCGCCCCGATGTGTCCTTCATGACGATGTCACATGGCTTGTTGCTGTGATTCCTGCCACGCCCCCAAATCCACCACATGTTGCCATGGTTACATATAAAAAAAAAATACGCTCCACCCTCCCGTATGTCGCTTCCATGGTTCCCTTCCGAAAGTGCCCATGATGCACGGTGCTACGCCCACCACTGTGTCTGCAGCAACAACTCCTGCCACCAGCGTCCCCTTCGCTGCAACAGCTACCGCCAATCAGGTTTGGCCCTTTCAATGGCTTTCTTTCACGTGTTCAGATCTCGAGGACCGGGCGAGGGCCGGATCCTGCGCGGTGCCGAGCGCCTCCGGGTCCCGCTCGGCTCGGCGCAGGCTCGGGCGTGCAGAGGCAGCGTGTGCGTGTGTGTGTGTGCGTGTGTGTGTGTGTCTGGGGATCGGTGAGGGGGCACCGGTGCTGGTCCTGCTGCGGTGTCTAACCCAGCCGGAGCGTAGGGATGGGCGATCCTCAGGGGTGTGTGGGCTCCCGGAGGTCTGGGCGCTTCTCTGGCAGCGTGTCCGGCTTCTCCAAAAACCCCGGGTCCTGAAAAAAAAACAGGCTGTAAAACTCCTGACGATGCTGTCGCATTAGACCTGCAGCACTTCTGCTTTCAGTCTCAAGCAGAAATACCACCCCGAGCATCCTTCCCTGTGGTATTTTGGCATGTCCTCTCCTGGCTGGAAAGTGGAAGTGGGAATACAAGGAGGTCTGCCCCAGTGCAAGATTGGGCTCTGAAAACAATCTCCCCACTCCCCCCAAAAAAAATGAAAAATGGGAGTGAGGCAATGAAGTCTGAAGCTTATTTCCATCAGTAACATGTCACCCATCCCTACAGAAATTACTCTGGATGTGCAGTACGTGCCGTTGTAGCACTGCCATAAGTGTACAGGACTTCATGCATGTCTGCCAAGCCATAATTCTCTCCAAAACTTTCCTCTGAAGATACTGAGTTGTGATGGCTGCTTCCGCACCAGTCCTGAACTGTATATGCACAATCTGTCCTAGTGATGCTTCCTGATAATTTGGTGTGCCACAACTTTTCCCAGTTAGACCAGAGAAATTTCAAGTGCTTTCCCCACCACTCCCCAATACCACTTGTAGCATTTTTTTAGTTCTTTGTCCTGCTCTCAGGTTTAGAGCTGTAGCAAAGAAAATGGGGTATCACTTTATTCAATAGGATGCTATTGGGCATGCTGAACGCCAGCGTTATCTCAGGGGGTATCCTGTAGTCTTTTGCTAGTGCAAGGTCATAAAGCTTTCAGAAGTTTTGCCTGCATAAGTCCTCAGCAGTTTTTTACTGCTTGCAGTAGGTATTGCTATTCTTTTTGTGTGCTTTGTTGTAATTTTCAGGCAGAGAAGGTCTTACTCATACTTGTATCAGTCATGAGAAGAAAGCAGAGATTTCTGTGCAGTGTTGCTCTGTGGCTGTATGAGTCTGGACAAAGTTACACTCCTTATGTTTCAGCCAGCTAGCTTCAGGGCATTTTGTCTTACTTGTAGTCCATGGAGTTAAAATCCCAGTAAAATTACCACCACTCCACGAGGCATCCATAGTGATGCAACTGTGTTGTACTTAATGTGTGGCAAAATAAAGACAGCTTGGGAATGGATTGTGTTTTATAAGACACTGATGTACTTACTAACGTGAAACTGAAGACAGAATGAAGAGACTTTTCTCAAGGCAATGTTTTAATGTGTTGTGTTCTTTGTTTGTTTTGCTGTAGATATCCCAGTTATCAGTAGATGAACTGAGTAGCAGCATGTTTGTTTCACAGATGTAGAAGTTCCCGATAGAACAGTAAGTTGCTTTTTGGTATTTCTCTTTACGGCGGAGTACTTTATACAAGGGCACTGCATCCCCCAAAAGGGGCTGGTTTGGGCAGAGGGACTGAGCCTGCAGGACCCTGCTGGCTTTGCTCTCTGCCAAGTCGACAAGAAATTCAGCAGCTGAAGCACAGATATGGACCAGCCTTGTAGTTTACAACAAGCCATGTTTTGTTGTGTCTAAAATACCTGTTTCATGGTATTCATAGCCTCCTGTCTTGCATCCCCCTGAGTCTGGCAGTTGTGTTTACACGTAACTCTTGCTCTGCACAGCTCCCAGGTGCCTGTAGGTGCCTCAGGGGGTTGTGCTATGGATGGTAAAGACTGCTCTGGTAATGAGTCAGCTGAAAAGGGGAAACTTCTGTTTTGCTGTTAGCGGAATTTTCCTTTTCCTGGGGTAAGCAGGTCTGGGTCATCAGCAGCTGCTGTGCCTCAGCAGGACTGGCTCGGTATGGGCACAGATCTGCTGTTAACTGCAGTAGGGGCCTGGCCCATGACAATTTGCTTTAGAGATCCTCATACATCTTTAAGATGAATGCCACAAGCAGTATTCTTCACACTACATGGAAATCCTGGGCTTCCCTAGGCTGCTGGGTTTCTCTGAATGTGAATAACAAAGTTGTTTGTCCTTTTCTTTGACTTTGAGTGATTTAAGGCCTTAGCAGCAGTCATTTTTCCATTGCTTTTATTTGTAAACATTAGCTAATGTTCGTAAGAGAAAATCCCTTGGGGCTTTTAGTTCATCGCTGTATTTTTCACCCCAAGACACAAAAGAGTAGTTCAGCCACTTCAACAGGAAATCACCAGATTTTCCCAATGCAGGCCATTTAGCGTGCACAGATAGGCAACCTATTTCTTCCATAGGTCACATTTACAGGCAAGTACTTAAATGCTGGAAATTAATTTGGCAAGCAATTCTCTAATTATATCTTTAGCAAATGACAGAAGTTACTCATGTTGGTGGTGGCCCTTATCTCTGGTGACCTAAATAAGCTGTTGTATGTATAAATGGCCAGCTAACTGTGGCTGTCGACCCCTGTTAGTCTAGGGGTGAACACTGAGGTATCCCTGTCAGTTGAAAATGTTCTGCATTATGCAATGTACTGCTCTCCTAAACCACAGACAGATGTGTATGACCATGTGTATGACCCACCAGTCTGCCAGAAGCTCTTGGCCTCTCAACATCTCACAGCTGCAGGGTGTAAACCCCCTTCATAGACTGGTAGAAAAGGGCTATTTCCCCCACTGTCAGGAGCCCTTGTATTTTGATCCCATATCTGTGTTGTTTCCTACCATATCCATGTATAAACTAAAGGCCAGCAAATCTCCCAAGCACACGTCGTTTCATGCTGCCACCCAAGCATGTGAAGTTGTGCATGTGCTCAGTTTTTTTTTTTTGCCAGATAAGGATCTTCACTGACATTTCTCAGTGCCAAGGGGTGAATTCCCAAAGCTGCTGTGAGTAGGAGTTCTGTTATAGAAATACTTGCTGCTCTGGCAGATGTTGTTCTTTTTCTTCATGGTTGACAAGGTCCTGGTAGCCAGGCTGACTAGCCTAGCTCTTTACAGGGAGGATTTTCACAAGTATATCCAAGGAGAGGAGATTTGCTTGCAGAAGAGGGTAACCTGGGCACAGGGTTTGTATGTTCATATTTTGTCTCTGAGCCTGATTCATATTTGGCTCCCTAGGATTAGATTTTAATGTGAATATATGTGGCTGCCTTCAAAGGAAATAGGAGCCAACAGTGGTCAGGGATTCCTCCGGTCCTCTCATTAGTCACTCTCCACCTGCCTTCTTGTCTCACAAATGGAGCTGTTATTCTCCCACCTCCCTATTTCATAAATTGTTTTTTCAGCATGTGTGAAGCACACTGAAAATGGAAAGCCTTAAGTGCAGACTAAAGAGGATGCCAAGTGTGTTATTAGTAGTTTCATCCTACATCAAAATTGAGAGAATAAAACATTGTCTCTCCACAACATACAAATGGCAACCTGTTGGGCAATGCAGTGGGGGTGTAGATGTATCTTAGTAGGATGACTTTATTGAAGAAAATATATAGCTAGCTTCACATTCTTACTTTGTTCTTTTTTTCTTTCTCCTGCAGCAGACCATGTTGAAATTCTGAACCGTAAAATTATGGAGCACCAGGACTTCTTGGTGGGAAGCTGCGCATGGCCTTTCTGTATATATTCCCTCTTCCCTTCTATCGTTCTCTACCACCTCTACAGTAAGCCTGTTGCAGCCTACATGTTAACCAAAAACTGATCAATGGGAATGTCAAAAAAAAAAAAGGAAAAAAAGAAAAAAAAAGAAAAAAAAAGCACTATAGAAACAATTAACAAACAGCGCTCTGTTATATGAGATATACAAGTAGAAAATTATAATAGACTTTTATAACACATTACTTTAACACACTTAATCATTTTATGACTACCATCCTGATAAGTGCATCTGCACAGCGGACTGTTGGTTTACTGTATACTATCGATGGATAAATGTTTGTCTTGTTTTTAAAGTGTTATCTTACTGTTTTGTTTACATCATAGTCTATTGATTTGTTTTAAAGTGTACATCATTATCAAGTATACTCAATACCATTTTTTCATTATTGTTATGTCTTAAGTTTTCATATACTGTAGGTTTTATGGGGTTTTGTTTGTTTTTTACTAAAAATGTTATTGTGGGAAACAGGAATTATGTGCTTGAAAAACACGACGCAGGAATGTTCTGCCCTTTTCTGGATTTTGCAGTTAATGTCAGCTAGAGTTGCTTGTGTTAAATGCTCCTTTTATCATGGAAAATTTGCCTTCAAGCAGAGTCTCCAAATTTTTAGTACAAACAATATAAAAGGACAGCTGTCATTTTAGTCCAGTTCAGGGTATTTCTTTAAATACAGTGAGCTTATTTTGGAAACTGAAGAAAAAAGAAAAACACAAAAACCCAATCTCAGTAAGGGGATAAGAAAGATTTGCTCAGATTATGGTAAGCATCAAGGAATTTCTGCAGTTCTGTTGTACGTTGAAGTGCATTCTCAGCTGCAAACGGCGCACAATCTTTCTTGCTGTTTTCATGGTGCAGTGAAAAAAAACAACATGTGGATAAGTAAGATGGCTTCAGTTGGGCAAAGATGCATTTGCATTGGAGAGAAACAAATGCCAACTGTTAGCTATAAAACATGTAGCTGGAGCAGGCCCATAATCATGACATAGCCCAAGCTGGGTAATACCATGAAGACTGGGCTTGTTTTCTCTAGGCATGCTGAAACATTTCCACCTGAAATCCTCTGTGGCTCTTTGAAATTTTGTCAGCATGCACCAATTCTTTAATCACCATTGTTCATGATTCGGTGACTTTTCCCAAGATCTCTGGCCCTTTAAAGCAAACACAGCAGTAACAAACCAGAAAAAAAAAATCAAAGCATAAGCTTTCTACCATACATAAACATTCTTTTTAATGGGGTTCTTGTAGGTCAGTGGATGTATTTTGGCACCTTCAACTTGATCAAGACCAACGTTTGTCACAACCAAGGGCTAGTTTTCAATACCTCCTCATCAAGCGCATGAATAAAACAGCTTCCAGCTGAGCATGCTGGGCAGCACAGCCTGGTGTCGTGCTGCCTTGCTGAACAATCTGGCTACACAGAATGCATTTTAGTTCAACAATGCAGCTATATTCATCCCTGTCATAGCTGTGTAGTATCACTGGCATTATGGAAGAAATGGATTTGCTCCTGTAAATCCACGAACTCCATAAATGTATCAAGTGCTAGGAGAAAGACAGTCATTATTAAATACAAGCAAGAGACAAATTCCTAGTGTCCTGCCTCCCTGAATTCACAGTGGTCTTGTAGAGTGCCAAACTCTGACAAACAGGTTATATTTTCTTTTCCAAGTTCCTTGGCCTTGGTTAGAGAATTTCCTTGCCCCCCTCTCCTCCAGTAGGGGCACAGATACATTGATAGACACGTACCTACATGGACCACAAGTGATAAAGGGCCGTGTGGAGCACAACAGGTTTGTCACTGATGAGGCTCTGATCAGCTGCTTGTGGCAATTTATTCATGGCAAGAACCTTTGAAGAGTCCAGCTCAAAAAGGCCTTGAGCCAGAAGGGATCTTTCTATTCATTTCAGCAGGCTTTGAACCAAACCCTGAAAGAGGGGAAAAAAACACACACCCCTAACCCTTAATCATGAACCTCGTGTTTTGACAGTCACTTGTGTCTGTAGATGTTTCCCAGTCATCACCATTCAAAAGCAAGATGGTGTTGCCTGAAATTAGTGACTCTCATTTATATTGGCTACCACATACCTGTTCTTTTAACCACTGAGTTTCTGTTTCCCAAAACCATAACATTGTTAGTGGAAAAAGTGGATTTGAGTACTTCCTGTTTGAAATTATTTGTGTATCAAAATGGGTTTTGCACAACCTGTGCCAGTGCCTCAACAAAGAACAGAGCTGATCTTCTTAAGCCAGAAAGGATGCATTCAAGCTTGTATGGCTTTATGAGTTAAAGGAGGTTGGAACTTTTTCAGTGCTAAATGGATTTTTGTATATCTTGACACTTTGATGTAACCTCCTATTTTATTTATCTACTTAAACATCTGGCATAGATGTGCATAGAATGTAAACCTAGAATACAGCTGTTTTCACGTCACATTTAAAGCACTGAAAAAAAAACGTTTAAGGATTATTTTTTATTAAAGAGGTCCAATGAGGGATGTTCAGGGTAGTTATATTAGGTGCCACAACAGTTTTTATATTGCTGGCAAATTTAGAGTTAATTTGTAAATGAGTTTAAGGAAAGAAAAGCTTGAAGCACTAAACTTCACCAAATTCAAAACAATCTCGGCAAAAAATGCCATTTTGAGGTAGCACTATTTAAACTAGTTGTGCAATGACTTGCTCTAATTTTCTTTGTTCAAGAAAGAAAAAAAAACAGTCGACAGACTATAAATTTCCTAAATAGACTATTACAAAGTCACCAAGCTAGTTAGTGACTCTAAACAAATGTCATAAAAGCATGAATATCATCCTTTATTTGACAAGAGATGTATGTAAGTTTGTTTAAATCAATATAATTTTAGTGACATTTTTATAAGCTTCCCACTTTCCATGAACCTATATTTTTTATTTATCCAAAGTTATTTCTCTTTGTCCATTTCTCTCAGCCTTATGCAAACAATATGCAAGAAATGCTGAAACTTGGATAAAACGGGTCATGCAGAGGGAAAATGAAAGCTGAGATTGATCATTTTCACGAAAAGGTTGTTAGTAGTTTCAATAATAAGTACTACTACTAAACTGTAACATAAGCAGACAATAAAAGAGGGATTTAAAATAAAATGGATTCATAAAACTATTAAGATTATTTTTGTTAAATACAGTGTTTTTAGTAGTTTGGAACATGATTTCACAATCAGCCGTGTTTTTTAGTTGGAAGTTTCTAGCTGATGATTTTTGACTTTGTATTTTTGCATCGTGATGTTCTAGAAACCATTACCTCCCTGGCCAGCCCGCGCCGGCCCCGTTCCTGAACACTCTGAAGCACTTTTCCTCTCTGCCATACGTGTCATTTCGCACTGCACTCGGAGTGTTCATGAACAGTGGCGCGGGCGGGCTGGCCACGCGCTCTGCAAACCACAAGCGCCGTGCTCCTGCCACGGCTCCAGCAGCGGCTGCGGAGCTCCGGATTCCTGCGGCGGGGTCCTCCCAGCGTGCAGTCGGCTGCAGACCACGGCGAAAGTCCCGCCTGAGCGGCTGGAGCTGTGCAAACCGTACAGGCAGCGATGGAGATGGGTATGTGTCTCTTGTAAGGTGCATCGGGTCGGATAAGGAGACGTGTGTGTCTGATGAGATGTCTTCTCCACCTTGCAGACTCCTTGCTAACGCAGTAGAGTAGCTCTAGGACATGCTAGTACACAATGATTGAGAAACTGGAGTCCTCATTTTTTTTTATCCCTTGTACATTTCACATACATGAAAATTGAAAAAGGTGAAATTTATGAGGAAAATCTAATTTCCCATTCCTGTTGAATGGATTTAGTTTGATATTGACCTGATTTTACCATGTGCCTGTTGAAGGCCTTAGAGTATATACTGTATGTTAAAGACTGTAATAACATTAAAAAAAAAAATAGTTGATAGCCTAATCCAAATGTAAATATAGCTACAACACATTGTTACTAGGCTACAACGCATTAATTCATGTCATATATTTTCATTTCTTTACCATTAGTTTTTAAGGTTTTCATTATTGCTTTTTTGATATCTTTAGTAACTAATGAATTTAATTTTGAAGGAGAGTTAGAGAAAGTTTAAAATTTTTACTACATGTATTCAACCCATTTAGTTATATTCTAAACCAACACTGAAGCATGGTAAGGTATAGAATACAGTCCATAACTAGTTTGTATAGTTTACAGTTTAAGAACAAAATTAACTTTGTATGTAACTCCTACAATGATAGATTCATTGTTAACTAATTATATTAAGTTGTTGTTGCTATGGCAACAAAACTACAACATGGCTACCTTTGTATACATTATTTGTGAAATTTTCACATGTAAATTAAAAGTGATGTGTAACAGTATGAGCTTGTTAAAGGTACAGTTCGATACTGTCAGATAAAGATATGATTGAATATTTTTAAAATCCCAAAGTCCCATGTGAACGCTGAATTTGTGTCTTTATGTCACTTTTTCAGTCAAGAAGTTTACAACACATGGATTTAGAGTCAGGTTTTATAGCTTGTAGAAATTGTTGTGTGGCAAGGGTTATTCCACAGTATTTTAACTTTGAAAACACGACAGCCTGTATTTACGACATAGTGACTGGTCTTTCTTTCATTTCATGTTCACCTGCATTGTGGGAATTCAGAATTAATCCGTTTCAGTACTGTAGCTCTGCTTGCAATTTTGGTTTGTTTTGTTTTCCTGAAATTGAACACTCACATGATTATGTTACGATCAGGGCTAAATAATTAAACGTGTAACTATTTTAATACTAATTTATATTAGCAAAAACTGTACATAAGAAAAAATATTGTGGAATGACCCTGTAACAGTGTTGAAGATACAAATATGCTGCAGTTAAACTGATTCAGTTAGTGTACGAATGTGTGAGACACACCTTTTTTGCACTTATGTACATAGTCCACGAAAGAAATCCTTGGAACTTATTTTGAATATAAAAAGTCTGTAATAATACAGGAAAAGTTTGTAAAAGAGATAGGTATTACTAAGGCTTTGAAAAGGAGGAGTTTTTTGCTATAAAACTTATCTGAAAGCATGATGTTGCTTTGCTGTTGTAAAAGCTTTGTAGTTTGCCATAGCTTATTATACAGCAGACTGATAACAGGTCAGCTCCAACCTGCAGCACAGAGAAATGGGAAACAGTGCTTAATTAATTAGTAAGGTCACTAGCAAAGATTTTTTTAATCAGCCTACATTTTCAAACACACCCTAGGTCATGTTTCTGATGCTTTGTATTCTCGGTGAATCCTATTAGGACTGATAAGTCAGTGACAGCATACACACGTTTTTCCTAGCACCTAATCCTATTTCTAGCTGGAAGTGTTTATCTCTTATAGGTGGCTGTCATTGCAGCAAGTGTTTTAAATCCCAGAGGGAGTTTGAACTGGTGCAGCATGCTGGTTTGTTGTTTGTTTTGGTTGTTTTGTATTTGCTGATTTTTTTTTTCCTTTTTCTAAACCTTTTGGGGCAAGCTAACCAAATTGAAGTGACCAGTGAGCAGTGGAGGAGCTGTTTCATATTGTCCTGGGATAGTTTTCTCCTGCTGTACCCCTTCCTTAGTGTTCATCTGAGAGAGCCAAAGGTCCTGGTCAGACAGCAGTGCTGCACAGTGCTGCCTGCCACGAGGAAGCAGTTAGATGGATGCTGGGCAGGGAAGTGAATGCTAATCGTGGCAGTGTGGCCAGCTTGGTTCTTCTGGCTGGGTTTAACAGGCCCTATTGTCTTGCCATCCAAAGGGAGTGCAACCATCCCACCCAGCCTCCTGAGCAGCAGCACAGTGCTCCTCAAGCATCTTCTGGGTAGAATGGGGCTGCCCGGTGGCTGAGGGCTGCATGGCTCTGGAACTTATCTCCCTGTATTTGGTCACAGTTTAACAGAGAGAACTGGCACTTCCAGGAGGACCTGGCTGTGCATTCCCTGTCCAGCCAAGGCTGCCCCTGGTTCTTTGGAGCTGTCAGGCTGCCCTCTGTACAGCACGAAGCAGCCCACAGCCAAGTGTCAGGAATCCCAAGCAAAGACCTGTGCCCTTACTAGCCAGGAGATGCTCTCATATGCGGAGCTGGTTGTCCTTTTGTTCACTGCTAAGCGTGTTGCTTTCCTTAATGAAATGTTAGTCGTAACAGAGAAAACAGAAGATGAATGGTGTAAAATATCCTTCCCCTGCAGCAGATTCCTAATTCCCAGCAGCCCTGGGTCCCTGGGCTCTCTTGATTCCCTTCCCACTCCAGCTCTGTTGGTTGTACTGGCAATTCTCTGCAGTACTGAGTGTTTTTTGGAAAAGCTAGAGGGCCTGTACTGACCCACTTAGTTTTTGGTTGGAAACAGTTGTGGGTTTTGTTTGTTTGTTTGATTTTCAAAATGCAAACCTCAGATTCGCTTTGGTAAGGTTGCTGGTTTTGCCACAAGGCTGGTCCCAGCTCAGCCTGCTGAGCTGAACACCCAGAACAGTGCCAGTGGGTGGTGGCACCCAGTGTCTCTGGCTGCCTTTCCTGCCCATCCCAGGGCTGGGGGCTGTTGTGTTGCTGCCAGGTAACTGCTCTTCAGCCACCGCTGCTGGTGGCTGTCTTAGAGATTGCTCTCTTGACATCGTTGACAAATGTCCCCTACCCAGACTGTATTTCACCACGTGGTTTGTTTAAACAGGTGGTTTGATGAATCAGAACCTGAGCATCATGTGGTCCCAGTGTCTTTAAAGCAGCGGGAAAAAAAAATCAGATGTCTCTTTGTGGGCGTTACAATAACCTAGATTTTAGTATGAAATAATCAGCAAATTCTAGTCACCGTGCTATTAAGGCTTCCCTTTGCTGTAATCAATTTTATAATCAAGCTCTTACTCATTTCTAAGATTGAGAGAAACATATTTTGCACTATGCGAAATGAATCGTAGCTGGTAAAACTTCCTTGGGATATGAGTATGATCATGACAACACTGCTAAAATCTTTGCTAGTGATCTTTACTGACATCTCTATCATCAAAAATAACTCTATATGCCTCTCAAATGGGATATTTAAACATGCAAAATAACACAACTATTAAATAAAATGAAGTTATTCTTTCCAAACACACAACAGAGAGAATTACCTGACACCGAATTACAAGGTTCCAGTTCTTTATTACTGTACACAGATGCTATTTGATAGTGGTGGAAGCCAAATGATTTTGTTGCCATGGCTTTTGTATCCTAGCAGATGAGGGGATGATAAGACCATTCTTAGATTGGATTATGGGATTTTTTTTCTTTACAATTAGCTTTCTTTCAATTATATTTATATTTTAAATCATGAAAATGAAACTAAACTCCCCATGCTCCGTATTATATCACCTGACAACAGATCACTTTTTTTTTTTAATAGAGAATTGTATTTTAGGCAATCAAATCAAACAGAGAATGTTCTAAATTGTCAATTTTTTAATTTAAATATATAAAAACACTTATACTGTACTGTGTAAAGTAGATATTTGAAGCACATTCTTCTTTTCATAGGCATTTCTGGTAAAACAAAGTAAGGGAAACATTAGGAATCAATTTAATGGTATAGTTTAGAATATATACAAACAATTACAGTTAGCCCTGTGGAATTGTAAGAAATTAAAATATCATCAGATTCAGACAGGCATAGGCTAATGCAATATTTCAGTTCCATAACACAATAGTTCATTCCCTCAACTGCTACCAACAGGGTGTACGCTTTGAATTTATTTTTCTTTTTGCCACGTTATATTGCTGTAGTGCTTGTACGTGCTTTAGAAATGTGCATAATGCTACTCATTTTAGTATGTTACTTCTATATTGTTATTGTTTATTTTTTGATCTTTTAATAAAGTGTATAAAATTCTTGGTTATGTTTTTTATGGATCCATATCTACACATTAATAGGAGTTTACTTTAAGAACTTTTCAAGTTCCAGTTTATTAGTCCCAATCTTTAAAGGTTCTGATGTAAAAATAATAACTAATGAATTTGATTCAATGTTATATCTAAAGTGTAGAAGAACAGAATAAATTTCTTTCCAGAAAATACTTTCAGTATTTTGAATTCTGTAGCCAGTGCCTCCTCTTTATTGGATGCATTAGGCCTATCATATTAAAGTTACTAACACAAGAAAGAAATTTGTATTTTAGAAAAATAAAAGTAAAACTTTCCAGATGCTGCCTTTTGGTTTCTCTTGTGCCTTAGACCTTCTGAGACACATGTGATGTGTTATGTTTGTTTTGTATTTTTCCATGCTTCCTTTCTGACCCTATCTATGATGTGATTAGAGAGGAGATCAGAGCTGTGCATTTGAAGATAACCATGAAGAATAAATTGAATATAATTCAAAGGCCTGCAGCTTTTGTAGCACAGTGATGTGTGTATTAATTTTTCTCTTTCAGCATTTGTGTCAGATACTGTTTTGAACGTCCCAGTGCAGTAATACAACAGTAATCTCCCTTTGGCAGAGTCCTGGATTCCCAAACTCTCCTCCAAGTGCCCGGCTCTTCCCCTGGGCTGCCTGGCCAAGCTCCGCACCCCTGGCTGCATGCAGCCAGCGGGGCTGAGGTGCCTCTCGCTGCACCTGGGGCGACTGCAGCAACGCTTGGTCTGATCTTCCTCATGGGAAACGTGCTTCTTGCTGAGACACAGAGGTTTTGTTCCTTCTGTAGCACTGAGTAGATGTAGAGATAAGAACATCGTTCAGCAGCGTCTTCCTTCCTTGGTTGCCACCCGTGTGCCAGCAGCATTGCTGTAAGGGGACTTTTGCCCCTAAACTCTCTTGAGGTCACCACTTACTCCCTAAAAGCATTAGCCTCCATTTTCCTGAGCCCCAGGGGATTCAGGTCCGAAAGTGAAGCAGAAATCATCTTTCCTTGTGATGCTGATCCTGATGTGCCTGAGGTCCCCTCTGTGAGCTTGATGACAGCATCAGGGCCATGTCCTCCTACAGCGATCAGAGGGAGCTGCACGGAACCATTGGAGGTGGCTCTTCCTCAACCACACCGCAATGCAGAATCTGCCTTGGCCAAGGAACGGCCAGGGTTGTCTGTGATGGCACAAGGGAGGGGATGGGGCATGCAGGGGCTCCTGATGTTCACTGCGAGCTCTTCTCTGGTACCAGTTGCTTTCGCGCTCACATGTTGGGTCCAGCTGGAGGCACCAAGCCCTGCGGCATGGCTTTGGCAGGAAAGGCTCTCAGCAGCAGGAAAGGACACCTGGAAGCCCCTGAAGATGTGGAAGGCTCTCATCTTTGTTTAAGTCTTGAGTCGCATTTTGGCCTTGGCACCCAGGCTGCTGCAACACAGGTGATGCAAGATGACAAGCGGGTCAAGACCTGTGCAACAGAAGGTGTTTAATGCCAACACGAGGAAAGGGACTGCAGCATGGGCATTGTTGGCCATTTTCGCTACAGGTTCCTTGGTTGATTCAACTAGATCCGAGGCAGGTTCTTTGCAGCTCCTGGGCAGCCTATATGTGTGCATGCCCAGCCAGGGATGGCATCTGACCTGGAATCCTGCCTCATAGCCCAGAAAAACAGGGTGGGAGACCAGGTGAACTGTTCTGCATTTCACATCCAAGGTGCAAGCCACGTGGATAGTAAGGATCTTGGTTCCTAAATGTGTTCAAGAATCTGATACCAGGGAAAAATAGGAGTTTTAAAATAAATATGTCAGGCTCCTGGTCTACTAGAGCTGCCTGGTGGTGTGCAGAGCAGAAGCAGGAGCAATGCTCCCAGGCACGCACTGTTGTTCCCCATCAGCTTTAGTAGGACACGCTGTTGACTTTGAGAAAAGACAGACCAAGTCTAGGACAAAATTATATAACTGTTTCTTTTTCATCAGCCTGTTTCCCTGTCTTCTCCTTGCAGGTTAATTGACTCTATTTATGTGTCAAGGCCACTTAGATTTTTTTTTTCTATAAATGACTCCTGCCTAGTCTGATGGCGTAATTAAGTGTCTGTATTGTTTCTGAAACCAAAAAAGAACAGGGAAAACTTAAACTTTTCTAAGCAATGGATGCTTTGGTGTTCTACTAATGGAGTGGGACCATTCCCGAATGGTTACTCAGTTTTCATTACCTGCTTTCCTCTGCTTCACTTTTACTGCTGCAAACACCGTGCCGTGGGTCAGTTGGAGAAACCCAAAGCTTTGGAGCTGAGGAACGTTAATGGGTTTAATTTTATGGCCTTGTGAATCAGAGAGGGTGATGCAGCCATGGCTCTTAATTGAGTTCATACCGAGCTCATCTTTTGACTAGCAGTAGCAGGAAGGGTTTTACTGGGCTGGCAGCGGGCAGCGCAGGGCTGCAGGCAGGCTCCCAGCCCCGCAGGATGGAGCAACACTGCTGCAAAGCTGAAGCCTGCTCAGGAAAGGCAGAATCCACCTCTCAGCTGACACGAGCCCAAGGCAGCCAGTCCACCGCTGCCAGCTCAGGTATGACCATGCTGAGATTGAGGTTGGGCGTAAGGGAAAATGAGGCCAGAAGAAGAGCTGCCAGTGTTTTTTGCCAGCAAGCCAAGTGCTCCTGACTGCTCAGGTGCAATTACTTGTCTTGAGCCAGGACTAGTGCTTTATAGATGAAGTTGGATTAAAGAACCCGAGCACACCATACATGATGCTGTATTTATGGCAAGTGTCATCTGGAAATATTGCAGCACCCAGCCTATCTATCTTCCTCTCTGCTGGGGCATGTTTGTGCAGGAAAGCCAAGTTTAATAAAAATCTCCATTTAGCTCTTTGGCTATTGAAACTTCAGTGGGAAACCCAGGGAAGATATCTATTTTTCAAGGCTTGCTCCTTATTAAGATGGGCCTCTGTGGTCCAAAGCCAGACAGTTTTTACCCAATCTGGACTTAGTACTGGATAAATAGATCACTTTGATCTATTTATTATAAGGAAAAGGAGGATGGAGAAAGAAATGTTTGGCTAATCCCCTATGAGTTGTGGATTTAAAATATTTTCACCAACAAAAGCAGCCAGTTAACCCTTCCTGGCGGAGGGAGCATGCTCAGAGCAAGCTGCAGCCCATCTCCCCAAAAAGCAACACCTGTGAAGGGCCCAGAAAGGTCTTGTGGTGTCTGTGGGTAGAGGGACCTGCCTGGAGGGGGAAAACCACAGCCTAAAGGCCATGCAGAGGCGCTTGGAGGAGCAGACACTCCTCCGGGTTTGGCTTGGCTGGGCTACAAGACCTTTACTGCAAATGCCTTTGCCCTTTCCTCCCCATTTTGCCTTTTTCAGGGTGTTTCTGCCAGTCAGTGCAGCAGCAGCGTGTTATCCTGTTCCTGCTGTCCTTGCCTTGGATCTGGAGGTGTAAATCCAGCCCAGGGCGACGGGATGTGTGCAGCAGCTGCCACAGCAAGGAGCAACACAGCCAGGCAGGAGGCTGCGGTATGATGCTGCACCGTGGATTTCTTTGGAGCTGCACCTGGGTCACACAGAGGTATTTCTGCTTCCCTCCGCAGTGCATGCAAATTATTTGCTTGTAAATGTTACCTGCACCATCCCAAAGGAGCTGCTGCTGCCTTCCTCCCCTCTGTGGCCATCACATTCCCAAAGCCTGTGTTTATAATCGATGCAGCTTCTGCTTTAACAGGCTGCCACCATAATTCAGCTGATCTCAGTGTGGTTTCTGCTGCAGCTTCTGTGCACAAGCAGCGGCTTCAGACAGTGTGGGCTCTCCAGCATGCACTGTGTCCCTGCTGACAGCCCCATTTCTGCCCCCCCACCTGCAGTGTGGCTGCTGTCTGCAAGGGCCCTGGCTTGTGAGCAGCTCCTGGCAGAAGCTCCACGGTGCCCGGGATGCAGAGAGGTGTTTTGGGGTGCATGCGTGTGTGTGTGCCACAGTAACAGTACTCACAGCTACTCTGCGAGGCTTCTGGAAAATGCCTGTCAAAGAAAAATACTGTTTGACTTCCACTGCAGAAACCCAGGCCTGAACGACAGCCGCCGTCCTTCTGTCCCTGCAGTGTGACCCTGCCCGAGGGACGTGGTGGTGAGGAGATGTGTGAGGAGATGTGGGACGTACCGCCGGCGCTCGAGGGCACTGCTGAACTGTCAGGCAGGTTATGGCACGAGAGGCCCAGACCATGCCCCAGTGAGCCCCATGCTGGGCTCGGTGTTTGTCCCCCACTGGGGCAGGGGAAGCAGCAATGGGACCCTCCCTAGGCCTCAGGGGTGTGCTCCGTGGCCGGGGATGTGCCGCTGCTCTGCTAGCCCTAGGCCTCACCCCATCATTTTTTTTTTTTTTTTTTACTGTTTCATCCCTCAGTTTGCTAGGAAACATCTTAGAATTTGGTGACCTCAGGCTGAAATAATCCCCTGCCCTCTGTGCCAAATGCCAAAGGGGCACAGCTCCCCTCAGCTCTCAGTGGGGCAGTCTGGGGGACTTGGAGGGGCTGAGGGATGACAGACTTGGGGCCTGGAGCTCATGCCCAGGAGCCTTGGGGCAGGATGGGCCAGCTCTGCCCATGCTATGTTAGCACATCCTGGCTGCAAAGGGCACTCCCACTCCATGTAGCTACAGAGGCTGCTGTATTTAATTGATTGCATCGTTCAAACGGGGTCGCCTGGCTTATGCTAAAGCCTGGAGCGAGGAATTTAAGAGCCCAGCACTGCCTAGAGCAGGGCAGCTAATTGCAGGGGGTGACCCCTCGTAAAGTAGTTGTCCTCGCTGGCCCTGGGCACATTACTCTGTGTCCCTCACTGCAGCCCTGCAGAGCAGAACAAGAGGAGGCAGCACCCACCTGGCCATGCCCTGGGCTGTCCCTCCCCGTGGGGACACTGCCCTGGAGACACTGCTGGGCTCTGTGGAGCCCTGGGGGTGAAATGCTGTGCTAGGGCAGGCGTGGGGCAGGTCTTGGGGAGCCCAGCCAGAGTTTTAGAGCAGATGTGGCCTCTCAGTTCAGGGAGCCAGAGGGAGAGCTGGGACGTACCAGGCACTGCCCCTGATGCAGGGTGACGGTGGGAGCCTGAGGTTTAGGACTGGGCAGGATGAGGCCTTGGAAGCCTTTTTAATTCCTAGTCTGAGGGTGGGGCTGTGGCTGGATTTGGACTGGCAGGGACAGGCAGAGCATGGCCTGTGCTGGGTGGGGAGGTGGGCTGCAGTTCCCCCTCCCAGGCTCTCACCCCTCTGCCAGCTTTGCTCAATTATGGGAAATCCTTTAAGCTTTTGCA